CGACAAAATATAAATAATTTTAATAATCAATTTCACTTTTAAAATTAATTCAAAATGCTGATTTAAGTGTCTATACCAGTTCATGCTGTCTGGACCATGTTCTGTCTGGTTTTTTTTTTTTTTTTTTTTTTACTCAGCCAGAGGAGATCAAGTTTTGTGGTTGATGTAGTCTGTTGTAATACAAGTCCAGTATTTTTAGTAATATTTGTTATCTTTTCTTTTTTAATTTGTATTAGATGTATTCACTAACAAACAAGTTTTACCAAAACATTGATACGAAACTACTATTTGCATGAGTACTAAAATGATAAAACAATTTCCAATGATTCTTTTACACGGCCAGTGACAACTGTGTAAAGTGAAAAACAACTCTTTACACATGTATGCAAGTAAGTACAATGAAATAGCAAATGTAGTTCATAAAAATCAATTTTATAATTTTGTAGGCCAGAAGCGCGTTTAGTCCAGTGACGCCCGATTGGTTGTTAGTTGCTTAATGTTTGAAATGTAATTGATCGACGGTTGCATTTGACAGGGTCAGCCGAAATAGTAGTTTGAAAAGGTGGCCATTCGTGATGATGTCACATGAATACATGTTACTTACAGCGTATCATCGCAACCACATGAAATTCACATTCTGCTTCTACAACTAAAATCTTTCAATGTGTTACGTACGACACGACACGACATTTCATAAGTTTTGTGATTGCTTCTGTTTAACATGTTTAAACATATTCAAACGTAACTGTCGAGCTCAGGAATAACGTAACTATCTGTTTAGATACAATAGCTTACTATTTGATATGTGTTATTTAGAATAGTTGAATACGTTAATACGGATCTATTTATCTATTTAATCATATCTGAGACTACTATAACACAGAGATTGGTCACTATAGATTTATCGGATTATCTGAGTCTCCGGTAGTTAGCTACGTTATTTTAACGTAGTTTCGTATTCGACCGTAGCAGACGACATATATCACCTATCACTGAGAATACTATAACAGTATCGGATATTATTATTTTTCTTTTAAAAATAATTTAAAAACAAAATTGAATTAATCAAAAAAAAAAAAAAAAAAAAAGTTTTTATCTTTCAAATGCAGTTATATCTATTCATATTTAAATTTTTGTTTTTAATCATTAATAATTTGTTAATAGTTTGTTATTATGCGGCCACTCTTGAAAATGTGAATGTGATTAATCTTATCAATCTAACAGTTACATTGTTTTGCTACACGTCCGTTAATTGTATCTAATATACAATTATTTTACCTGTAAAGACAGGTAGTCTCATAAGCATGGGAGATGAATTTTGTTTCACAGCTGGGTGCCCAAGGTACACGAGGCTCCGTTTATTGCAGTAAACTTTTATTCTATACTTGTAAGGTATTTCACTGCTGAGTGCCCAATATACATGTTTATTTTAGTAAACCTTGTCAAATATCGTCGGTGCACTTGTGGTAGGATTCAGGAGGGTGTGGATGGGGTTTTATAGAATGGAGAAATAGGGACAAAAAAAGTATAGAATGGAGAAAAATGGACCGACAAATAAAGAATAGAGAAGAGAAAATAATAAGTTATTAAGATTTAAAGAATAGAGAAAAATGGCATAGAAATTATAGGAAATAAAGAACCCCCATCCAGACCCTCATTCAGATTTTCCAACGTAATTTTTTTTTTTCAAACAAGTTTCAACCCCCTCCCCCCCCCCCCCCACCACTTTTTTTAAATTTCCGTCTGATAATTAGGTCAAGTTTTTGCAAACAATGTAATAAACGGCGATCACAGAAGAGAAAAAAAATTTCATTAAAGGTAAATGAGTAATTTCCTTACGTAACAGATCAGCAAAGAGGTTATAACTGCAATGGATACATAAAGCAGCAAACATAAGCCCTACAAATTATATATATGTTCCCAAAATATCGCCGGCATTTTCATTTTTCAATTCACAATGTCCAGTAACATTGATTTTTTATCTTGGGATGATAGTGATCTCAATCTTGATCTTTGACGTGGTGAATATACTGCATCAGATATTGAATCTGAGGATGACTATACGTCCCTGCTGCAAAGACTGCAAAAACTACAAAAACTCCAAAAGAAGCATCAACCGCAAGTACATGTAAATCAGAACGAAGAAGCTTCAAAATTACGTGACTGAATAATCAAATTATCTCTATGTTAACATAAATAGAACCACATTAGTGTAAATTACGATGACATTTTTTCAACACCAGAAATATGTGCCCTCTTTCAAAATCCCGGACAAGAAATTTTGTGCTTCAATAGAGAGCTGTAAAGTTTTGAAAATTTGAATATTGTCTATTGTTAAAGTGTCGTATGTTTTATTTATATCGCTATGCTTTTTGTAACCCTAATAATTGAGCAACTCAGATGAAAAGAGTTGTGATTTGCTTTAGTTTTTTTAGCCACAGCAAATATAAATGTATTTGTTCAATGTTTGGTGACAAACCATGTTAATTGTTGTCGGCATGATGCTTTGTAAATAGGTTCCCTATAACATTTTTTTGTTGGATAACTGCTGACAGTTTACCATGTGAAAATTCTGAGAAGCCAAAAATAATGCGGAATGTATAAATACGTAGCAATGTCAGATCTAAACAAGAATGTTAAATATGATAGCATATATTGATGTCACCTTTCTGTAAATTCAACTTCGATTCACAACTGCTTGTCAATGGCAAATATTTCATGTACAGTCAGCCTGATTAAACAGAAATGAACTATTTTCAAATTATGTTTAAAGTTTGTTTTTATGTTATGTCGTTACACTAATGTCCCAGGCTAGTGGTGGTGATGAGCACCTAAAAATATTTAACATTGTCACATTCTTTATGTGCCCGTCTCAAGTCAGGAGCCTGTAATTCAGTGGTTGCTGTTGGTTCATGTCCGTCATATTTGAATTTTCGTAAACTGCTTTGTTATTGTAGACACTTCGTTTTCTCTAGTGAATTGTTATATATTTTCCATGTCGGGGACTTTTGAAGCTGACTGCACGGTATAGGTTTTCTCATTCTTGAAGGTAATTACGGTGCATTCCAATAACTTACATCCACTTCACTGAACTTCATTTGGACTAAAGGAGTTGTCTGATGATCATTAGCAAAAATATATAAAAATCTCCTTAAAGTTTGCTTCAAGTGGCTATTCCTTTAATATATAAAAATGTGTGGTTACTTGTTTTTTTTTCTTTCATTGAACTGTTATCCAAACTGAGCGTGTTAGTGAATTTCTGCATTCCTGTTTTAGTTTTAATGTATATAATAATAAAAATGTATATTCAAAGACTTAAATATTTATTTCTCCATGTAAGACAAGCATGACAAATTCAATGAAATTAAAAAAAATACTAAAAAAAGTCATTTTCTCCTGTAGTACTTCTCCCTTCTTCTAATGCGTGATTTCTTTCTGGGGGTATTCCTACAATAAAGAATATATTATAAATAAAAAGAAATAATCTTTGTCAAGTTTATAGCATAGGCAATTCATTAATTTTTAAGACAGTAATCTGAGACTTGAGACTCAGCAGTAATTGACCAATCATGTCAATATGGATCAAAATAGTTAAACTGATAAAGGATGCAGACCAAAGGTGCATGTACTTTTTACATCATGTTTGGGTCAATTATTTAAAAAAAAATACGTCTATTTAGGAACTCATGATGTACTGGTATTTCACATGGTGACACATTTTCATTGCATAATATTATTATACTAGCATGTATAGACTGCATATATATTATCAAGGGAACCAATATAAATCTAAATTTCTTTCACTAACAATACAAATTCACCTATCAGACCTCATGTTGTGTGTGTGCAACTTGTCTCGTGTGTTTCTCAGTTCTGCAGCGGGAACTTACTGATACACAAAAATTGGAATTTCATATAATTACAAATTTTACATCATTACATCGGTTAATTACTAAGGCTTGCACATACATTATCCGGAAAACAGATTGTTCATCTGAATGTAAGTTATGGGTGAGTTGCTCATGCACCCTGTCCCACGGACTGGTAATAACTCGAGGTTACTTTCCGGTTTGGTCGGTAAATTCAAGTCTATAACTGCACTTATTTTATTTAAAGTGCTTATAAACCAACATTAATGAACATGTCAAATCTTATATTCACACTTACCGGAACATAACACTCTTTATAAATCCACATTTGTTAATTATTATTTTCTCTTTCGCTTTCAAAAATGGCGGTCGAATCCTTCTTGTCAATCATTGCGAGTCACGTGCCGAGTCACGTGATCGAAGACTTACAATTAATTACTATTTGACTGGTCAGTACGGGAAGTGACCAATCTCTGTGTTATAGTAGTCTCAGATCATATTTATGCAGAAACAAAATAACTTAAATGGATTGGAATTGTTTAATCCAACGCAACAAGAAAAGTTATACATGTGCACAAAAAACTATTTACATTCTAAGCGAAATAACTCAAATTGAAACATTTAATTAGCATCTCACACAACTGTATGGTCAATAGATGAATAGCAAAAAGTCATAATAATTATGATAATGAAAGATTAATAAATACATGTGGATTGGCTAAAACTATGACAACAACTGTTAGGAATCCTCAAAAATGTATAAAACAATTATAACATAAGCAACACAACGGGTGCCACATGTGGAGCATGATCTGCTCACCCTTCCGGAGCACCTGAGATCACCCCCCAGTTTTTGGTGGGGTTCGTGTTGCTTAGTCTTTAGTTTTCTATGTTGTATCATCTGTACTATTATTTGTCTGTTTGTCTTTTTATTTTTTAGCCATGGCGTTGTCAGTTTGTTTTCGATCTATGAGTTTGACTGTCCCTCTGGTATCTTCCGCCCCTCTTTTATAAGGTGTTAGACATATTAGATATCTAACTTGTATCTGGAGAAGTTGTTAATAACTCTTACAATGTAACATCGATAATATTTTTTCTATTTTGATATTGCATTTTATTTTTATTGGGGGGGGAGGGGGGGGGGGGTCGTAATAATAAAGTTCAAAATATATATTTGGTTGATATAGATAAGTACAAATGTTTAACTTTGAAAAATTCGAATGCCAAAAAGAACTGCCATTCTAAAAAGTACGTATAAGTGCCAATTTACTATATTGTTAAGCATTCGCAAATAATGCCTTCATATATCATTTTTTAAACAGTTTCATCACTTCCTTTCGGAATTTTCACTTTGCGGTGATTCCTTTTAGAATGTCTGGATACATTATCTCCATCACTACTAGAAACCGAAACTACTGATAGACTCTTTTCTCTGCTACCAGCCGTAACTTTTTTTCCATGTCTCCTTCTCTTTTCAAACAAGTGTTTGTCATTGGATATTTGCTGTTGTTTTTCAAGGTCAATTTGTTCCGTGCTTTCTTCGTTAATGACCCCGTCCCTAGATTTAGATTTAGATTTCGCAAAGCTTGCCCATATGTTAAGAGCTTTCTGCGAAACATCCTTATTTTTGATATAAAAATCTCCAAACTTTTTCTTTTTATCGACTCCTTGGCTTAGCATGTTTTGGTTTTCCTTGACTACTTGGCGTAACATCTCCTGGTTTTCATCGACTACATCACTCAAATGTGCGAACTTTGTTTTGTTTCGTTCGGTTATACTTAGCATCATTGATCTGTTTTTATCCAAGATAGTTCTATCTTTGTCTGAACTCATTGCTTGTTGTGGTTGTGGATCGATCACAGATTTTGTCATCAAATCGGCCATTTGATTATGAATATTTGTGTTTTTAGCTTTTTGATTGTCTTTGATATCCGTACTTGCAGCTATGTGCACTAGCGTTGAAAACCTATGATAAAGCATGCAGAGAAACTGAAGCAATAAAAGCAATCCAAATACTACAGCGAATAACACTGCAATCGGGACGATCGTAGCGTCTCTGCCATCGCAGGGGAAATAAATCGTGAGGGAATTCTTGAACGTGTTGACTTGTGTCAATCCAAACATAACAGTGACAAGTATGGCATTCAATAGAAATACGAAAAGGCAAACCTTGTTCCGTAACTCAATTAATTCTTGCTCAATTGCTTTCTCCTTCTGAATGTTTTTCTTTAGAGGTTTTAAATATTGTTTGATAGTCCTTTTCCAAAATTTTCTTTCTTTCTTTTCAATTTCTGGATATTTTTCATCGAGAAGATATTCATCATTTTTATTGATTTCATTCACATCTATGGGATGTACTTCGGTCTCTTTTTCTGTATCTGTATGAATATTGCAAAATAAGAAATTAAGTCATTCATACATTTTGATTTAGCATTTTATCAAACTGAACTCAGTCACTATAGAAAGCAGGAGTAAAAATTTGTACGCCAGACGCGCATTTTGTCTACAAAGATTCAACAGTGACGCTCAAATTAAAAAGTACGAAGATGAGGAGCGTTGAGGACACAAAAAAAGTATTGGGGCATAAGTACTTGTAATGCTCACTACTGACATTTTAGATTAAATAAAATTCAATGACGTCTTTAAAAAGATAAATGTAAAATATTGAAAAATATTGAAAAAGATAGGGGAGTAAGCATGTACCTGTTTAAATTTGTAGATACAATATGAAATTGAGAATCGTAACGGGGAATGCATTTGTCTGCGAAATTCGTCTGAAAGAAACGAATTTTAAACTACATAACATATATTTAAGAAAATGATGTGGTGTTAAAATTGTTTGTCAATAATTGAGTATTACTAAATAATATATTTCATCGTGTAATTAACCATTAGCATTACCATCAAAATTTGAAATCTGACATATTAAGAACGGTTATACCTGCACTCTCTTCATTCCTAATTATATCAGTTGCCCTTTGTGTTTTATTCTGCGCAGGTGGACCTTGGCTAACCTCTGACACACTGTCTTGTTTCTCCATTTTCATCACTTTTTTCATCTTGTTCAACATGTTGGTGTACAGAAAATCTTCCTGTGTATAATTATTTGTAGGACAGACAATACAGCTAGAAAAAAAAACAGCCTTGTCTTTTATTTCGTTATATACCGCATACGTGTCAAATTTGACCAATTTGTTAGAAGCGTAGATTGGAGGAAAATGCCTTAAATGCCATCCATTTTGGCAAGTCAATTTAAAACCGTATGCACAGCCGAAAGGATGTAATTCAAAATATTCATCACGGCGTATAGCAATCATTTAGTGCTAGGTGTCGTCTGTGAAATATCCTATATAGAAAACATAATTATGTGAAATAGATTTAAATTCTTTTTATCTAAGAATCGCACCTATAAGATTGACTTCTCCAAAAGGACACTGTTTAGCAAATTTTAATATTCCATTAAAATATACATGATTACTGTGGAGGTACTTTGAAAATAGGGTAACCACATATTGAGGCAATTTGAGAGATTCACTTGCATTTCCGTTTTTCAAAATAGCAATTGTCACCACCCATAATTCCTTGGTTCCATTTTTTGAAACAGGCCTCATAATAGTTCTAACAAACTTACCTACAAAAACTACCAAGCGAACAAAAATAACCCTTCTCATCATTTTCTGGTACGTGGTTTGACTTCTGGGTTTTGCTATCAGGCTCCTGCTTAGTTTCTCTGGTACCCCATGATACCACATGTAGGTTTCCAATGGAATACAGAAACATTAGCATACACATTGACGGTATTGCGAGAAAATAGAGAAGTCCTGGTATTAAACAAAGGAATTCCTGAAATTAAGAGAACAGTAATTACATGTTGAACATGATAACTTAACAAAATTATAATTATCTGTTTTATGAGCGTTCAGGCAAGTAATTTTGCGTGAAAAAAAATAGATGTATAATCTTTGTATTCGTCATTTAATCCGTCTTTATGTGTACGTAGCTTCCGTATGATGTGACCACTTCTTTCGTTGTTTTAGTTCCTATTAATCAATTTATGCATATATCTTATTAAATAAAAATTTCGACTAATTTTCCGTTTCAATCCTCATGAGTCTTGAGATAAAATTTGAAAGACCATTCAATGAATTATCATTATGATGTCGTGGGCTGTGTCCAGCAAGAAGAACATGTCTGTATATTGACTGTAACCATGTGAAATAATACATTACAAATCCGACTAAAATCGTTCGTCTAGTACAATGTAGGATACGTATTCATATCATCTTAACATGTTCACGTCCTGTAAGAATGCTATATTTGCCACTGGACGCAAAACACTCGGAATCATTAACTAACAAGTAACGTAAACAAAAAAACAGGCAAAACAAGAATGTGTCCATAGTACACGGATGCCCCACTCGCACTATCATTTTCTATGTTCAGTGGACCGTGAAATTGGGGTCAAAACTCTAATTTAGCATTTCAATTAGAAAGATCATATCATAAGAAACATGTGTACTAAGTTTCAAGTTGATTGGACTTCAACTTCATCAAAAACTACCTTGACCAAAAACTTTAACCTGAAGCGGGACAGACGGACGGACGGACGGACGGACGGAAAAAATGACGGACGAATGAATGAACGAACGAACGGACGTACAGACCAAAAAACATAATGTCCCTCTATTATCGTAGGTGGGGCATAAACATATACCTTCCAACGTAATGAAGTTGGTGATTGGTTGATTGTATCTTACTTAACGTCAAGTGGCATATTTTAAATGCATATTTAGTAAGGGAACAAAGTATCAATTGATGCAATAGGTAGGTTTTACAAAGCAGGTTGCCCGGGATGAAGGGCGATCATATCGACTGGCACTGTCATATATGTTCGATAAAAAACAAAAAATGTTGACTTGCAACAAGCCACCCTTGGACCCTTAATACAGTTGTTCGAAGGTTTCTTTTACCTGTATAAAGTGGTTGATGATTTTAGCTGTTTATATATAGATGCGAAAGGTTGACACAGTATGAAGTTTACTCGTCTGGTATTCTTTAAAACTTCTCTTCTTATTTTAAATGATAAATAGGAATATTTAGGATCTTTACATGTATATCATTGCCACGGAGAAGAAAAAAAGATCGACCAGAAATTTGACACCATTTAGTAAACTTCGACCAACCGAAGACACGAAAACAAGCAACAAATAAACAATTGGTTCAGATATATTGTTAATTTGCGGCGTTTTGTTGTTGTCTCATGGACATATTACCCCAATCTCCTTTTATTTTATAAGAATGATACTATCCTAGTAGAAAAGCTATAATAGACCGATGATTTACCGGTATGCTGCAAGTATCGTTCTTTTTGAGCAGTAAAAAATGCGTTGACTGTATATAACCATATTAATGTATATGGTATACAGAAAGAGACCTCGTAACAGGTAAACCTTTTGAAAACTTTTAAAAATATAATTATAAACAAAATAAAATCCAAATTAGAACACAAAGTGGGTACAAAATTGTTTAAAATTTCTGTATAGAGACAACAATAGTTTTTGGCACAATAACGATACAATGATTCGACACGAATCTAAGCATCACCCTCATATCGTTTTATATTAGACAAAAACACTTTATAAAATGTGTAAAAAAGGACAAGTACTGGACAGTAAATAAATACCTGTGGATGTAGAATAGCTGAAATGACAAAAACGCCTGCGACAAACATTATGAAGATGGTGGTCACTGAGCACAAGCCGTCGTTTATTGCGTCTCTGATTACACCAAGCAAAACGATCGCCATGACGATGGCATATATGCAGGATAAGATGGCAGCAAATTGAAGCTGTAAAATGATACATGTAAGTCAAATTTAAATTTTTGCGTGATCTGTTCAGTGTTTTTAATAGAGTTTACAGATTTTTCCAAATGTGAAAGACGTATATACTACATTTTTCTCTACGTACTTTCTACATATAGCATATTGTAAATAATATAAAAAGTGAACCTAAAGTCTCTGACGTCATATGTATATCTATGCCAAATAACAGATTCTCAGAAGCTTGCTGCCGAAGCAATTGAGATCATACGTATGCCAGTCATAGAACATGCAGAAAGAGACTTCCCCATTTCCATTCTCTATTTTATCAATGTATATTAATGAATTCTTAAAATAGAACGCAAGCTGTAATATTTCCGATGTATTTATATTTCTCTAATTTAAACTTGACATATATATATATATTATATTTTTCAAACTGGTATACACAAACCTGTCTCTGAGTCGAAGCATACAAACACATGAGAAGAAACACACCAACTGGAACCAGGTTCAGAATCAGTGACAGCCATGGTGGAATAGCCTCAAATCCAACAATTATAGCACCCAGTATAAGCATGAATATTGTTCCTGGAGTTAACAGTGTAGATATAAAGAGGAAAACGTGATACGCTATATACAGGAAAGAGATATTTTCGTTTTTCTTCGTAACATTCTTCCAGTCGACGATAAGATCTAAAATATTTGCCATGGTTGAAGGTGACCAACGTCGACGTTGATTGTAAAACTCATAGAAGCCTTCTGGTGCAAATGTATAAGCGTCGGATTCTGCGCAGTATTCAACACGCCAACCTTCTTTCAATAAAAGCGTGCAAAGCCACCTATCCTCACCTAAATAGAAACAGTAAAGGAAAAACAATTTTCTGTTTTAAATTTGAGTATATTTCAGTTATCTTCTTTTAGTTATATAAGTTTAATCTTTGATATTAAGGTGGTACCTAACACTACAGGGAGATAACTCTGTAAAAATCAGCTAAACGTTTTAATTACGCTGTATTGTTAAGGAAATATTAAGCTTCTCAATGATCAAAATTAGTGTTTGTCAAACTGCTATATAACCAATGAAATTTTTTTGATAAAGGGGTTGGTTCAAATTTTTTGAAATTTTTATATTTTTGTCAAAGGGTCAAAGTAAACATTTTGTCAAAATTTTATGAAAATTAAACGAGCCAAATTAATATTAGTCAAGGTGTTGGGTACCACCTTAATGTCAAAAATATATAACTGACAATGACGAAATAAATGATACATGTCCTGCCAACATATTGCATTAGCTAGCGAGAGTATTACTGTATGTATATGGTTTGTTAAGGAGTATGTTTAATTCCTGAATAGACTGACCACATCGGAGATGGGTGGAGTTCTTAAACATCTAGTGAAACATCGCCACATGTACTAAAGGCTGTTCAAAGACAGAACCTCGTTGATAAGTGCGTAATATATACTTTTCAAATCTGAGTGAACTTTTCTTCAAAAAGATGTTGGCGATGCCAGATATTGTGTAGATCTTGTTGATTGTATTCACAGCTCATGTTGGAGGTCTACATTTATGTATCTTTTATTTTACCCCCAGTTTACCCTATATACCCTTTTCTTAAATAAATTTTAACACCCATCATTCTCTAGTCTTTATGTTTTTTGGCCTATTTTTCTATTCTCGATTTTTAGAGCCCATTTGCTAAATTTTTTTTGGTCCCATTAATTTTTTTATCCTCCAAATCCCATCCAGACCCTCATTTAGAGCTAAGTTTGCTTTGTCTATCCTAACTAAAAGTAGGTATACAGAGTATATCTAACTCAATTTAATGTTTAACAAGTTTGGTGTATGTTGCTTTCAAATTTGCCTTTTTCTGTTACTGATATTAGTGACAATTGTAAATTATTGCTTATAAGGACTAAACACGTGAAATTTCGGTAACGAAGTAAAAATCGTTGCAAATACTACAGATAGCAACTTGTTGAGGAAATAAAATGTAAAACAGTTTTAGGACTGTGGTGTTGACGTCATTTGTATTCGGATGTGTATTCAATATAATGTTTTTTTTTTATTGCTGTCCTATTAATAAATCTCATAAATATTCGTCATATAGAGCCTACACATGTATCTCACATGGAAAAAAAAGAAAGACAGTTTACACATTCAAGTACCTTGATCATACTGCACTACATGTTGAGCTTCTGTTGGTACCGTTGTGTATGTCTCCAATACATCTGCATGTAAAATAGCGGATCCACGAAAAAGGCTGAAACACCCAGGACTACACAATACACAGCCAATCACGTGTTCGGTAGCTTTTTGTAACCAATGACTTATTGCATATTCAAACTTTTGATACCATACCATTGGTCCTGATACAAAAATTATAATTAACCATAACCTTGGAATAGAGTGTACTCAATAATATCGTATTTTATTTTTTCTTTGTATTCGATTTCATATCATAAATACATCATGAAACAATACATCCACGTCATTTGAACTTTGATGGATAGTTCACGGTGTAGAATGGTAACGGACTTATCGGGTTTTTGTCGGCGTTTCCGCACTAATCGGGTTCGGCAACGGACTTATCGCGTTTTGTTTCCAGACAGTGTGACACAAAATGAGCCAAACAGACGAAAAGAAGTCGTTAGTGTTTATGTTTATATGATCACGGAAGGCACCGATGATCTAAGTTTGCAAAATTTTTCATTTTGCTTCGGTACCACTCTTGGCTTTTTCAAAGAGCTCCACACTAAACAGGACAACCGGCCGAACACAGCTACTAGTGGTGTGGTTTCCGTTCAAATACACAGTATATTAGAATGTGGACTTTTTGTGCTCCTTTATTTCATGCAAAATACATATTAGAACCACTTGTGTGCATTCAAAAACAAAAAATATCATATATTAAAGCTTTTTCAAAATTGCTTGGTAGCGGACTAATCGGGTTTCTCTAAAATGACGTGTTTTTTGGCAAGGAACTGTTGGGGTTTATTGAGCAAACTGAAGGACTCTTGTGTTTTTATTGTTTTAACAGGGTAAAAAATGATGTTTTCGTATTTTTTGTTTGTTTGGGAAATGATAAACAAAAGATTTTAAAAACCCCATTTGACATCTTGTGCTAGAATATACAAGTCTGGAACTTATCACGGACAAGTGTTTTTTTCAATCATGATTTTTACATTATGATACAAAAATAAAGGGACATTGAGTAAAAGTATACCGGTATGGGGTAATATCATATGCAATGCCAAACAAAACACAAATGGTCAAGGAATAAGGCTTTTATTTCTGCTCTTTACATGTTTACAGATTAACATGTGCAGGTCTATTGATGGATGTTTCGAAAAGACACATTCATTCCGGCGTAATAGAAAAGACAGGTTAATATTAATGTCTCTCGTTTAAATGCAAGGCCAAGGGCAAGGATGTTAAAAAACAATCAGCAACATTCAATTCAATTTTAGCCTATTTTACGTTACATGATTTATATATCTAAATATATATATTCAAGTCTTCTTTCGACGTATTCATAATGATGCATGTATGAGTGAAGCTTTATGTTTCAGTCATGAAAAACAATTGTTGATGGAGCCGGTGAATAACTGTGACAACCTAAATTATTAACCCATTTAGTCTTAGATGCATGATTGTTTTATTAGTTGTTAGTGGCTTTGAACTAGTTGTCAGTAAACTGCGAGTACTCGCAGATCTGTTCCTAGTGTCTTTTTGTTGTTGGGATGTACAAGTACCCGACCACGTCCACTTGTATTTTTGTCCATCTGATGAGTTATGCCTTTTTCAACTGATTTTTATAGTTCATTCTTATGTTGGACTGTTCTACCACTGTCCCAGGTTAGGGGGAGGGTTGGGATCCCGCTAACCGTGATGTTTAACCACGCTACATTATGTATGTATGTGCCTACCCCAAGTCAGGAGCCTGTAATTCAGTGGTTGTCGTTTGTTTATGTGTTACACATTTGATTTTCGTTCATATTTTTATATAAATAAGGCCGTTAAAAAGTTCTCGTTTGAATTGTTTTACATTGTCATTTCGGGGCCTTTTATAGCTGAATATGCTCATTGTTGAAGGCCGTACCATAATTATGACGTCTTGAAAGGCTATTTATTATATTTTTTCTTTCTTTGACGCCTTACATCGTCGCAGAAGGGCGTCAAGGCAAAAATTTAGAATTGCCTTCCCAGACGTCATAATTATATGGACTAGAAACCTTAAATTCCTGCTATGAGGACGAGATACTGATAGAATCCCACACTTTTGTTTGTGGATTAATAAAATATATCATTGCGTGATGTGTGATTAATGTATAAAGTAAGAGGTGATTAACCCAGGCGGAGTAAACACATAGACTGACTGAGAAGATAGGAGTCTCCATATTCATTTGCGCACAAAAAGTCCGGTGCTAATAACACAAAAAGTCCGGTGCCACTAATTTTTCAAATTAACCATCATTTAAACCTTAATTGTGCATGAAACAGTTCCGAAAGGGAAAATGTCTACATTTAATGAATAATAACCAAAAATTTACTTGGAAAAGAAAACAGCATGCTTAAAACACGCTTCAATTAGACATCTTTCCATGAAAAATGTTTGTTTTCAAGTTCGGGTACCACGTTGGTGGAAACAATTTGAAATAAATCGTAGCTTCCCATGAATATATGATTAGCTAGCCAGCAAAATAAATAATTTCCCAATTCCGTGACATCAAGCTTATTTGGAAATATCAATTCTGCTTTAATACAAGTTGAAAGAAATAACCACTTACGCCAAATGTTGACATCTGAAAACGCGATAAGTCCGTTGCCGAACCCGATTAGTGCGGAAACGCCGAAAAAAAACCGATAAGTCCGTTACCATTCTACACCGTGTAGTTGTGTCATTGGTAATCATACCACATCTCCTCATTTTTATATTGAATGTTAATTAAAGCTTTTTAAGTGTTTTCCGTTATGGGTCCAATGTTTGGTTAAATTTATTTTGTTTTCAAAGGCTGTCTTCAATTTTATAATTATATTATATAATTCTGTTTCCAGATTATAATTACTTTTTTGTTTTTATTTTGATAAAGTGGTCTCTTAAATCTAAAAGCGGACTTGTTGACCTTCTTTCAATGCAAAAATACTGACGAATATTTGATTGCTGGTCCAATATTGCGACATTTACTTTTTTGTGGGAATGAATTTAAAGTGCGTAATGATTTTTCTGTTCCAGTGTTCTCATTTCAATTTATTTTTGTATTTTGTTCCGTGAGGTACCCGGACCGAGTATTCTTACCTGTTCCTATTGGATGAATTCTTCCACATGCAGCTCCTACAATCTTTGATTTATTCATGCGCCTCATCAAACTGAGCACTGCTTCCGGTTCAAAGTCAACGTCGCCATCAAGCGCTAAAATGTATGTATTCTCTGCAGCTATTTGTAAGTCCTCTTTTTTGAACTCGCGCTCTAATTTCCATTGCAGTATGTAAAACATGTACATGACCTACGGAAAATTCAAAAGAAAGAAATTGATGTAATGTTACTGTTTTGTTATGTGTTGGAAAGTTTAAATCTGTGGAACGTCTAAATGACCGCCATTAAAAACGAATATAAGCTTATTGTTCTAATTTTGAATTTACTGATAAAAATTCTAAATCATTTTAAATTCAAGTGATATATCTTCCTCGTGCATAGCTCTTATTCCATGTTTAGATACTCCTTGTTTTTAATCAGATCTTCAACGCTCGTATAAGGTTTTGTGCATTCAAATATTGTAACCTCGATCATCACTGTAGAGACATTAATTATCGAAATGCGCATCTGATGGAGCAAGAATGGTACCGTAATTGTATGGTGCTCTAATTTAACTTTAGCCATTGTAGCCTGCGATTATCTATCTCATCGTGCTCGTCTTTTTTTCTTATTCTATTGCATTGGTTTTGTGTTTAGGAATTCTTAGAATTCAGACACTCTGATTTTTTGTTACCTCAGTCGTTATTCTATGGAACTATCACTTTGTACTTCGATTTTAGATCTGTTGTTTAACCTTCTGGCATTTGTTATCATCTTTTCTTATTTTCAATTTGAATTGTCCTATATGCCCCAAACTTGACTGTGATATGCATGAAATGACGTAAAATTTACGCTCAGGATGTGCAATATTTAATTTATTTTCAGTTGAAAGATAATATGCCATGTTAACATAATAGAAAAAAGTGAAAATATACAAAGAAGGAAGTCACAGATCATTTTAAATTATCTAAAGTAAGACATTCAACACCCATCTGTTAAGAGACAAAATACCAAAAGACAAGCAATTGTCCACAATAACACGATTTTGTTTGATGTTTATAAGCGCAGTTATTTCTAGCTTTTTTCAAAGTTTATTTTAATGACCAAGAAAATTATTCACTTATTTTAAATGCAATAATTAAGAGTACGTCTAGCTTTTTCAAAGTTTATTTTAATGACCAAGAAAATTATTCACTAATTTTAAATGCAATAATTAAGAGTCAAACATTTCAATGTTTCACATACCTGACTCCATCTTTTCTTGTGTCGAATTTTAGTTTTATCCTTGAGATGTATGATTAATTCATTTCCTCCCGGAAGTTCATAATGAAGTCTGCCTCCATATGGAGTTCGATACATTTCACCTGGTGGAACGCTAATTCTTTTGCCGTGAACAATGCTAAAATAGCAATAATTCATGAAATAGAACTTTATTTGTATTGCTTTAACTTCTCAATAATGAGCAAAATAATATTGTTTGGGCATCTATAATGTTATGTTGCGTCTTTAAAGATTCAGAAATAAGAAGTCAAGTTTTCTTTAATTATACAAAATATGTTGCCACGTTCATTGTTTCGCACTTTCCCATAGTTCTCTCCTTTTTTTAATGTCTGTATTTCCTGTTATGAAAATTAACAATAATTAAACACACCAACCACCAACAACCAATTTGTTCAAAGATTAAAACGTACAACGATGGCAAACTATATCTAGCAATGAGCTATACATTGGATAATAAATCAAAGAGATACGCAGAGTTTGTGTTTTGGATGCAATTGTCAAAATCTGCTCGCTACCGCTATAGCGAATTATAAAATTTTCAAGGAAGACAAAGTTGTTTATTACTGCAGGTTAAGACTACACAATATCAGACAATACAAGATACAATAAATTTCACGAAGTGTCATCACAGAATTCATTGTAAATTGACATGGCAGTATTTGAGAAATGATTAAACCAGTACTAAAGACCCTCTTGAACTTGCAGTCAGGTGTGTTATTTTTCTCCTTGTTGAAAGTCTTGTCATGACTTTGAAATGAAGAACAGCAAGAAAAGGCAGTTCATTGCTATGCATTGGGTTTTGTCACGTGATATTTTCTGTCACGATTTATGTTTATTTCTTTTTGGTATAAAATATAACAACGACATATCTATTTTTTTCAATTTCAAAAATTTTACAATCATAGTATGTATCCGTACCTGCCAGCCTCTTCAATGACGCTTGTAAACGTTTTCACATAATCATTAACATACGGAAATTTCTCTCCATCTTTTAGTGGTTCAAACGCATCATCAAAGAATACTTGTGCTAAAATGAAAATACAGCTTAAAGGGTTGAAATACAATTAATGTTCACGTATTTGCATAACTGTAACGGAGCCTGATGGACGAAACGGTCAATAGGGTGTCGGATGGAACTTAACAGATTTGATCACTGTTTGTGACTTCGGTGGACAAAATAATCTTGAGTGCTAATCAAAGGGAGGTAATCGATTTATATAAGTATCACTGCACAATTGTTTTCAAATTCTAAATTACCAGTAATGACGATAACCCTTACAAAATACTACTTTAACATTTAACATGCTTGGTAGCAGTTTTACTACTTGCAAAATACCTTTATGAGTATTAAAAAAAATGAACTGTATAAAATTATGTTATTGCAGACTGTAGATATCTATTAAATATGATGAATATTTTCATGTATTTTTACAATAGCTATCGGATTTGAATTATCCTATAATGAAAAGTTCATTTAGTACTGTCATGTCCATTGGCGGATCCAGGGGGAGGGGGTGTTCCGGAGGTTAGAAACCCCCCTTTTTTCGATTTATTTGGTTTTTGGTTTTTGTTTTATAATTTTGTGAACGTTTCATGGTGTTCCGGGGGAGTGTGTGTTCGAACCCCCTTTTTTAGATGACTGGATCCGGGCCTGATGTCCGTGCAATATTCAGTTTTACTTTTTCTCTTCTATTTACGGTTGGTAGCGGTGACTTAACTAGTTTTCACAATTAGTTTTGCTAATTGCATGGAATACCGATATTCATTACAAACATTAAATGTTCCCTAAACTGTGGCTTGTGCCTTATACCGATAGAAAAACCATAAAGTTTTTTTTTAATTGCTTAGTACTTTAGTTTGCTGTTATTTTGTCTTTGCTAAATTTGCGATCGTTTTCGATTCTGCTCTCTTGAATTGCTCGTTTGAGAAGCCATGGTGGTGTACGCATTGTCTTCAGACTCTGAACGGCATCTAAAGTAATGAGTTCATTTATATTTACCTTCAAGATCAAAGGTTTCAATGTCATTTTCGTCATCATCTCCTTGAATTTTTTCAGCTATAAGATTATTTTTGTATTGTCTCATGTCCAACCTTGAAAATAAATAAGAATAGATATCGTGTGTGTGTGTGTGTGTGTGTTTTGTTTGTTTGTTTTTCTATATACGCTCAAATGTATAATCTACATTATACGTTTAGATAACTAAAGGTAATAATTTACAAAGCGTAAAGAAATACCACTGAACGTTCGTTTTCTGTCTCCAGATTAAGCGCGGGAAGTTGATTGTTTTGCATGTTACATAAGGCAGTTTAAAATGGTTTCTCTGTTCAATAGGTACATGTATCCTTATTCACAATTTAGGGGAATTTGAATTTTAGATATCTTAAAGCTGCATACAGTCAACAAGAACACTTCGGAACGTATGGAAAAATCCAATTTGTTACTGTAAATAATTCAGCATAATACAAATCATACCTAATCATATTTATCCATATTTTCTCATAGCTTTATGCATTGATTTATTTTGAATTAATAGGGCTTGTTTTGTTTAGTTTTGTTTATATTTTTTTTTATTCTGACCTTGATGTCTAATGTACCGTAAGCCAACTTATTTTCCAGAAATTCATTCACGCAATTTTTCGACTCGATTATTAGTCGTCGAGGATATGCCAAACTTTGATTTTCCCTTGCATGAATGCATGAACAAAGTCAATTTAAGAAAATCGCAAGCAGTGATTCGCGAAGTAGGATAGAAAGTGCTAAAGGCGGAAAAAGTATCAGGCAAAATAAATTGGCTTACAGTATAAGGTCGGAAAGCCAATACAAACGCACCAAGATCAGTGCGCGAACTGGTGACAAAATATTACCTCTCCTGTAAACAGTGCGCTCTTCTGACTAGAGGCGATCGGTAAAGAAAAACGGATAATGCCGGAATTGTTTTGCTTGTTTGAAATGAGCTAGCACAGACGAACTCAGACGTGTCAACATAATGTGAATATGATAATGAATCAGGTAAATTATTAATTGTTAAGTTTATCACCTCATCGTATCTTCATATGATAGGTAAATGCGTGAATTTTCGATTTTTAGTGTCGTCAGGGTTCAAACTTGTAATCATGTCATCCTTTCATTATTTTTTTTTAATATTATCCAATGGTTGGAACACCTTGATTTTCTCCCAATTTGTAAAGTTGATCATGTTGCATGATATATATTTTTATCGGGGAAAAAAATTGATATGCAGCAAAGATTGGCAATTTTTTATTTGCTTTGCCATGTGAAATAAAGGGAGATAAATTAAAGTAAACGAAGGCGCGCTTTTTCAAATAGTAAACAATTTAATGCAGATGCATGGTATTTTGTCAAATGATAAAGAATATCGTAGAAATTTACTAGAAATTCATCTAATTTATGCATTTTTCATTAAACATACTGAAAGCCGAAAAGGGTTAAAACCACCATACATTGCACAAATTAGAGGGGGGGGGGGGATGTCGGGTGAAAATATTACGAAATTTAGATTATTTTTATCTGTGGTAACAATCATTTGATTTTCTGTGCAAACATTGGTCTAATATTTTCAGGTTCTCTTTGGATTGCCAAATAATATTATTATCACCTAATAGTGAATGATCAAATTATTTTGCAGCGATGTTCTGTATGGAAGGAAGACTGTCACAGAATCCAACAGTTCCGAAGGGGCCTTTAAACTGCTTAACATCAAGATCGATGTAAGATTCAAGTGCCTGATCCAGTGCAAGTTGTAGCCAGTTTTTCCTTGTAATTGTGGCAGAAAACTCACTAGCTCTCAGCTGGGTAAAAGACCGTTTCTGGCATTGAAAGGATATCAAACGGATGTTTTATGGAATAATCTCAAGTACATATGACGATCATATGCATAGAAATGTGGAGCTAGTCTCTTTCATGCAGCAATTTGTAATTCCCAATTTAAACTCCGAAAAGACAAGAGCAAAGAAATGTAAATTAATGAGAAAAAGTCTGTGTGAATAAAATTATTCCAAAACTTAAATGTGTCATTAGTGTTGTATTATTTATCAGTAGAGATAATCAGATTACAGTAAGATTGCCCAACTGAAGGCTTTTGTCGGTAATGTTTTGTAAATCTTGAAGACTTCTTTAGCCTCCATTGTCAGTAAAACCACGTCTTTCAATATTTTGTTTGTGGTTTGTTTACATGTAAATTCTGAATTCTCATGTTTAAAATTTCTATTGATAAAGAAACTGAGCAAAAGGGAAAGGAGAGACCCACGAAAGTTCATCTGTAAATTCAATTTTGAACATTAACATATATGTTTTGGCATCAACGGCATTTAAAATAAGACCATAGTTTAAATTTTAGTCTAAAGTTTCATGACATTTTAAGCTATATTGGGACATATTTGACAAGTGTCCGACCTTCTTTTTTTTGTGGAGGACCCTGGGGTTTGATCATAAGCTATGATTGTCTTGTTACCAATTTAAAAAAACTCCGCAGGCTTGTTCATATTATGATACGATCTGTTTGCCGTCTTAATTCCACATTTGGCACACTTGACATTTTTATCAAGGATGGGCTTTTGGTTTCAGTTTGCATGACATTGTAGTTCACAAAGTTTATGACAAAATAAAGATTTAATTTGTTTATTAATACGACATGCCAAATTATAGTCCGAGGTTACCCTGACGTCCAACGGCTGTTTTGCAAGACAAGCTGGGCCGTGCTTGTCTGGGAAAACAGTCGTTGAACGTCAGAGAACTAGCCAAGTTATTTTAAAAAAAGCTCCTCGCATGCTACCCGCCTGATTTACAAACTTTCATCAGAGTCTGAATAGGGGAGGGGGCAGGGTTCCCGGCCGCTCCTTTCAGTGCGAGACAAATTGATTAATTATATACGAAATCACTGAAGCAGGACTGGAGCGGGCTTCCTTTTTTTAGGCAGTCAGTGGGCATCCCCTTAGGTTTCAACCATTTTTACTTCAAAACGGGGGGGGGGGGGGGGGGGGGAGGGTTTGTTTTTTTTTGTCCGAGTCAAACATTTTTCATATATTAATAAATTTAGATTTAACATATACTTTCCTATATGT